TTTTATATTTGTACTGTGATAAAAACACAAAACGCTCGTCAGCGGATGGAGCTGCTCAGTTGTCATGGAAATAGTTTCATCGTCGCGTAACTGAAACTCAATTCTTTGTGACAACAGGTGATCACATCGTATCTTTGATCAGTTCTGGAAGAACGGACCTCAACCGCCCAAACCTTTAGCTGCTCCGGAGTCGGAAGTTTTGGAGCGGATATTTTTAGGAGAATATTCTTTTCATGGTTTTCCGCATTTTTCTTTATTTTTATCCCTTTCATAAAAAATGCGGTGAAGGGAGTTAAGGGGGGGGGGGGGGGGGGTGAAGAAATATCCCCAAACTCAATATTCCACTCACTGTAATCTTTTCAATCTGTTCTGCCCCGACAGATTGCGGTATTTTGCTTCCCAGTTGGAGTACTGAATATCTCCCCCCCCCCACCTTTTCTTATTTTCCCTCTCCCCTTTTCCCATCAGCACTCTCCATTTCGTTGCAGTCGCTGCTGTAGCGTAGCATCGTTACGTTGCGCCTCGAGCCCACTGACCACCCCCCTAGTGAAGGCTTATGACCGCCCATCACGGATGAAACATTACACCGCACCTTTGTGACCAGCAGCTCCCGCGTGGGCACGAAACGGGACGGACGTGCCAGGGAAATGGGCTACGTTCTGTCCAAACTAACCTGTCCGTCAGGTCCAATTCAGCACGTTTCACCGGACTGGGAGAGCGAGGATCGTATACCAGACCAGCCGCCGCTTCTTGTTTTTGCACGTTTTGAGAGAGCCCCTTAAAGCGGCCGTGGCAATTCCAACAACAACAGCAGCAGTCGACCTCCTCTGGCAGGAGGAAGGCCCTTTAACCACAAGAGCTGGGTCAGGGGGGGGGCAGCCTGCGGTCGTAGATCTGGGAAGGCTGCACGTGTTGCCCGGGCGGCCCCTTAAGTGACTTCACCTCATCTCGATGGTGCTCATTAAGAGCGATGGAAACAAAGGAATCCATCTGGGGACGTGGGGACGTGAGGGGGGGGGGGGGGGACGTGGACACAGGCTCGCACAATTGATTGTGGTCACAATTAGCAGAGCATATTTTTTCGATTTCAAAACGCATCCACGGGGCTTTCCCGCGCGCTCTCTAAATATCCACTCGGCCCAAGTGTGCCTCTACGGTCGCGTTTCAATTGGTGAGCGAGTCAAAGCGGGGCGCCGCGTCTGAGGCCGCACGGCATCGAGAATTCGGTTTGAAGACCGTGTTTACGCCACTCGGTTTCGGTCGGCCGGCGTCTCCGAGCAGCCGGCTCCTGCTGTGATGTTAAGGCTCAGTCTGACTGAGAGTGGGGGGGTAGGCGGGGGGCAGAGACCTCTCTAGAACTGCATCATCTCCCACCGTCAAATTTGTTTAAAATGACAGATTTGAGAAATTACACCTTCCTTTCAGCTCATCTCCCGCAAATGCATTTTTCTCTTTCAAGTCTTGCGCTTGATTGTACATTTAGAGGGCGGCAACTGTCGGGATTCGGCTAACGAATCGGGGATAAAATCCCTCACGCCAGACAGAATTGTGCCTGTTGAACTCTAGCAGGCTGAGGAGATTCACCCCACCAGGAGCTTTTGGGCTTAATGGCTTTGATTTGAATTTCCCTTCATTAGAAACCCATTGACATTTTGAGCACATCTGTACGCTATTATCACGGACTAACCTTTAAAAAGAAGAGCGACGTGTCTCTCTCGAAGAGACAAAAGCCCAGGAAACAAATACGGACACGAGCTTTCCCTTCAGCCTGCTTTGCAATTCTCTCTGTTTTAAAGGCGACTCGGCCAACTAATGAGAGAGAAAAGAACATCACAAAGGAAAGCAGCAAGAAGAACGTAATTGAAGGGTTTATTCCGGGGGGTTTGATGTGCTTGTAGACGAGCACACGCTCAAAGCAGCGTCGTTCTATCAAGTCTACCTTTACTTTAACACAATAGAGTTTTATACAACATACTGCATAATAAATGGAGCTCGCATGGTCCCAAAAGACCTGCAGGAGATGGATAAGACTGCAAGCTCCTCGTGAGAAACCACTTTAGCTTTGATGTAACTGAATCAACACTGCACGCGGGAGTCGGCCATATGCTGAGTTTGGTGCCACTCAGTGTTGTGGCGGTTGTGCGTCTGGAATACCGATATTCCTTTCCTCATCCCCTTATCGCTTAGCATACATTGAATGAGTGGTCCCCTTTTGGGGGGTGAAATAGACCCTCTGAAAAGCAGACTTCCTCTTGACGTGAAATCCTTTTTTTTTTGGGCTTTTTCACCCGCGGTTTGGCTTCAGGGGATTTGGCTTCTATGGAGCTCACGTTGCTTTGAAAAGTCAGAGATCTGGCAGTCATCATTGTTATATATAACAGAGCTGCACTGAGAATGACGCACCTTTGTGTCTACTTGTGATCGGGTTACCTTGGTGTTTGCATACATTGGCCGTGTTTGTCCCTCGCCCACATGGGAAACACATTTAAAAATCCTGCATTGTTACTCATCAAGCAGCTTGTCTGATAGAAAGCTTAACGCTCCATCAGTCATCATCAGCGTTGGGTTCCGCTAAAGCAGAACAAGGGAAACACACACACTGCGTTCTTGTTCCCGATTCGTCTATTTATGTTTATTGAGAGCATTTTGACTATGAATAAAAAAATGTCTGTAGATTTACTGGCTGGAACAGAATGTTTGTGAATGTATTCAATTCAATTCATTTTATTTTGTATAGCCCATGATCGCAAATTACAAATTTGCCTGTATGGAGACCTCCCTGGTGAATCTGTTTCCTACGTTTCTCACAGATATCCAGATTTGGGCCCACATCTCCATGTCCCTTTCCCATCAATATTTTATGCTTTATATCCCATGCTCCATATTCTCTTTTTTATTTATAATTTAGATTCTGTTGATTCATTTTTTACACATTGGCCTTCTGTTCTTTATTTGACTTTTATCTATTTCCTTTGTTATTGTCTTTTGGTTTGTTGAGTATTCTCCTTTTTCTTTTTTTCTTTGTGTCTATGTAAATGTCAGCTAAGCACCACACACATTGGGAAGAATCGATCTTCGAACCTTGTGCTTATGGTCAATGAGAGGATGTTTAACTAGAAAACCTGTTTCACAAACAAAATTGATTCCATCGCTCACTTTTCTCCACCCTTGCACTATAATTCGGCACTAGATCGGTCTCCTGAGAGCCGACCTCCAGCCTCTGGTCTGAATCTTGCATTTCTAGTATTCTACTTCACGTGCTCTTGGATCTGCTGCTCTTCCCTCTCCATCCTCGTCCTCGCCGTGACTTCTGACGTCCATCAGGCCGCTGATTTCAGCGTGTGAGCCGCCCCCGTCCCAGCAGCGCACCGAGAGCCAATTAGAACGATGATCACCGGCCCTCCAGCAAAAGACTGAAGACGAGGTAAGAAAGTGCTGACTTGTGTGAGCTGAGCTGTGCCAGCCTTCTGAAAATGTGCCCATGCAAGCACATGTATGAGATGGGGGGGTGGGGGGGTGGGGGGTGCACGCCGGCTGCTTCCTGCTGAAGCGAGTCGTGTGCTGCGCAGTGGCAGGTGAGGCCGCTCCATGAGGCCGTGTGCTGCTGCCATCTTTGGCCCGGGGTTTGGGGGCCAGGTACACGACAGCTGTTTGTCTCCGTGGGCAAATATACTCACCACACACAAACACACACACACACCCATGGGTGTCGGGTCGAATGTGTCAGATGAAATATCACTGCTGCCTCATATTTGAAATGTGCTCCTTTTTCTTGGGGGATTAAGCACTTACACTGAAAGGCATAGACAACAAATGCACATTTGGTTCCTGGTTAATTCATGGCACGGTAATCGAATTGCATTGTGATTTAGCGTTGGATCCTGTGCATAAATAATCCACAGGATGCACCAAATGCCACTTGAAGGACCCTTTACTCTGCTTTGATCTGAAGCTTGTGCCTCTTAATCTGGACCTAAATAACACGGGGAACATGGCGGATCACATTCAACAGGTGGATCACATGCAGCTCAATCACAGTATTATACAATATAATCCACAATTGCTAAATCAACAGTAATGCAAAGAAGGAAATGCTTATGCTTAAATAATATTGCATTATTGTTTGGATATAAAAGTGATGCAATAGAATCCTTGAATCGGTTCTGGCTGTAGCCCCCCCCCCCAGGTCCCTGAACTAACAGCAGCAGCCGTCTTTTACCTCCGTCCGTGCAGCTTAATGATGCCCGAGAGTTGTTTTTTACTGTACATATGGTTGCTGCTTTTAAAAAGAGTTACAAATATAGAGAAACGTTGCGACTCAACAGCTGCTTTCCAGTTAATCCACGTGCTCCCTGCGCACTAATCCAACGGCCATTTACTCCACGGCCCGGTTGCCATTACTTGGTTCACGATGTGAGTATCTCTTTAATGTTGGAGATTTGAAATTTGGTATGACCTTGTTCTTTAATCTGCAAGAAATATGTTCTCACAACGCAGAGCAACAGGCCGTGGGAAAAACACACACACACACACACACACACACACACACACACACACACACACACACACACACACACACACACACATGCAGTGTTAAAGAATTAGGAATTAGAAGTGAGCTCCAGCCCAGCTGTGTGCATGTACATGATATAATTGGCCCCGTGGATGTGATCTGACTTCAACAGGCAGGTCTGCGGTGGAATATACTGCTTCATTATAACGAGCAGAGGGGTTCCGTGCAATGTTCTGGCTTTGTTTCAGCGGACTGAGGATTTGTCTTGTAGGGGAACAAATGTTGGCCATTACATTCTAATGCAGGGTCATGTAAACCGAGCCACAAGCCAAAACCACGATCATCTGTCAGATAGTACTGTATGTTCTATGTGTACCATTATCTCATGGTGTCATGCATTAACGCAGCTCTACTGTGGAGAGAATCGTGTGATTTATCCAGTGCAATCTCACAATGTAACACAATTGTCAACGTTTGAAACAGGGAATGTAGAAAAGCTTATTTGCTTTTTTAATCACAATCGTTGCATAGAAAAGCTATTTTCTGAAAGAGAGGTGCAACATGTTTAGGATAGTCTTTACATTAGATACCATAAAAGCTTTGCTACACAATGCAAATGCTTTTTAAAAGGTTTTCATGATGACTTTTAAAAAAAAAGGAGAAAATATAAAACTGATTTTTTAGCTCATCATAGGTTAGTCATTGGTCATCAGTAAAGACAAACTAAACCAGTTATGACACCACATCATATAATACGTCACACATGGACATTCTTGCTCATTGTCCAACTTATGGATCCCAAAGAATCTCACTCGCATCAACACTCATTTGCTTAAACCCTTTGAATCGATGTGTCTTTCCTCTCACGTGCAATTCGCCCGTCTGCCCCCTACGGCCCACTGGGGAGCACGGCAGTATTTCTACGCATGCCTTCTTCTCCACAGTCCTTCTTAACTGCGCTAAGTGTCCTAGAGTTTCCTTGAGATGTGTTCAGGGCCGATAACAAGGAATCCGAGTCTGCAGGAACCGGGGGGGAAATGTTCATGATTAATACGTCGTGGATTACTTAAACCAGTGGGGGGAGCTGTTCCGTGGGTCTGAGTGTTTTATTGGGGCACGCAGTGTTTCCTAACAAGCCAGCCTTCCCCTTCCCTTCTCCCCAAAGCCTCGTCACAAGCTGGAGGAGAATACGGGCCCTTGTTTTCTTCGCCGTCGTAATGACGCTCCATTTAGCTACAAGCAAGGGGTTGTTTAAAGAAAGCCTTCCAACAAACGAAGAGCTCTCCTCTGAAAGGGGAGCGACGCAAATGTCTTTTTCACCTTGGACGATGGGTCTTTTAATCCTGTACCACAACACACGAGGATGTTTACGACCTCTGCTCCTCCATCATCCGCTGTCCTATAGTCACACACACACAGGATTAATTTAAGAAACTTGATCTCAAACTTAAGGGACTTAATCCTACCTTCTGATTTCCAGCCACGATGTGACATCATCTTCTGGATTCAAGATACAGATGTTGACCTCTGCGTGCCTTTGGGCTTCAGCGAACTGCATGCTTGACGGGAACTTATTTTCTAATTATTTGGGCAGTGTATGAACTACTTAAGAGGTCATCTGCCATGGGTAAGGTCAGGATGTGCTATGAATCACAGGATTTTAAGAGACTGTGGTTCACTGCCGTTGAACTCTTGTGGCATGAATTAAGATCATGTTTTATTGCTTTTCATCAGGCTCTCAGTCGGCGTCCCCGTGTAGACTGTGGCTCAATTTGGGTGGAGGGTAAATCCACCTCATTTTATCCACATTCTTATTTGCAGGGATCAGCTGTAGAGATACAGGATAGAGCAAAAGCAAAGTGAGTGAATCTAAGATGAATCTGTAAGTAAAACCCAGAGTTCTCACTGGGTCCCAAACTGCCCAATTGATTTACATTTACCCAAATTACACGTAGTGTAGTTGGGCCTTTATTGGGCACTTCTGCAAATACAGCAGGTACATTGGACCCCAAGTTACTATCAACTTCACCATCTATCAACGCAGTAAAAAAAGAAAAAAAGAAATTTAAAGTTGGATTTGCGCAGTTTTCCGCGCACCTGCGGCGCTGAAACGAGGCGCCTTCCCCTCGGATCGAATCCCGGCCCGTGTTTTAGTCGCAGCCTCGGCGCCGGCGGACCGGAGCGGGATCCGAGCTTCCGCCCCGCTCCGCGCCCTGTTTTCCGGGGAGCCGCCGGAGATCCAGCCCTTCAACACGCTGCTCTCTTACGTCCCGGCGCCGGTGAGCAGAGAGCTGTCCGCGGCGCAGATTCCTGCTTCTGGTCGGATCGGATCCCCCCCCCCCCCTCCTCCTGTAACCCCCCTCCCCAGATATTTTGTTTTCCGCTCCCCGGTTTCTCGCTCCGACTGGGCGCTTTTATATCGCGCACGTCGGCGCTCAGTCGCCCGCAGCTCTTTTTCGTCCTTGCGCTGCGCCTCCCGTGGCAATGGATTGATTTCTGCGCGCGCGTGTGTGTGTGTGAGTGCGTGCGTGCGTGCGCGCGTGTGTGTGTTTTTCCCTTCTCCGACCTCTGCCTCGACCAAGTTGAGCAAACAGTCTCTCTCTCTCTCGCTTCCCAGCTATTCATGTTTCCTCCGGACAGTTTTAAAAGAACCAGACTGCGGATGTTTTTGCACATTTTAGGACTTTGAACTTTTTTTTTTTTTTCTTGCAGGATTTTAAGGAATTTTTTTTAATTTTTTTTTTTTTTTTGTTAAAGCTACTGCGGGGTTCCTGACGCCTGCAAAGATTAATTGGTGAAAAGTGATGGCCGAGCGGGGAGCTCTGTCGCTCCTCTCTCTCCTCTGTCTCACCTTCCTCCGCACGGAGACCACCGCGGCGAAGCATGTCGACAAAGGTAAACACCTCCTCCTCCTCCTCCTCCTTCTCCTCATCCGCTGCTTTTGTTATGTTATGCTTATGTTTTGTTTTGTGAAAGCCGCATTCTCACTGACATCGTATCCCGAGTTGGGGGAAATCAAAAATGTAAAAAAAAAAAAAAAAAAAAAAAGCCCAACTGCACCGCGTCGCCGTGGAAGTCTGAGCCGAACGCGGCTCTTTGCGCTGCGTTCGGCTCCTCTTCCACCATTTCACCAACTTCAGGAGTCTCCGCTCCCCAGGACGCGCGGCTCGCTCCTGGATCGGCTCCGTTTAAAGCAACACGCTCCCCCCCCCCCCAAACCCCGTCCTTCCTTTTGTCCTCACCGAGGCTCATTGAGACAGAGCCGCTCGTAGGCGTCTCTGTTTGTCTTTCGGGTGATTCGGAGACATTCGGCGTGAAGGTGTTTTCGCAAATGTGCCTTTTTGGCTTCTGGAGATGCACAAATAAAAATGGACGAAACAAGACACGTTTGCTGTGGATGACTTGTGAGCATCTCTCAACTTGTGTCCCTCGGTGCTGAATGTGGGCCAATAATCATCAGTCCTGCACATGCACGCGTTTTGGTCATTGTTTTTTAACCCAGCTGCTGGTTGTTTCCCTGATATTAAGTGGAAAGAAAAAAAAAATCCATGTGCATGTAAAATGTCTGCATCATTCTATGGGAATGCTCCAAATCCCAAACCGGCACCATCAAGTCACATCTTTATCCCGTTTAAGCTGTCAAACGCAGCAGCATGTCCTCTGGAAAACATTTGTAAGTGTAACTGACTCTAGTGCAACATGTCCCCCTCCCACAGTCATTCTGCTCATATGCAAAACAGTTGTGTGGGGGGGGGGAATAAATAAATAATGAAGCAGTTTATTTTGAAACGGAATGAATGCGCACAGAAGGTCGGGCCTTGGAGTGACAGGCCCGGGCTGGCTGTTCTCCTGATGAAAGAGCCTCTCCTGCATGAAAAGCGCTCTGCAGTGGTGGAGGGGAGATAGAGAAGCAGGAAAAAAAAAAAAAAGAACGCCCCTCCTTTGGCTTTGCTGGATATCGGTACAAAAGGGAAGGATGGGGGTAGGGTGAAACAGCCCTGACTGTCTGGAAAGTAATAAAACCAGGAGATTAAGGGGACCAGGGAGTTCCTTTGGGAGCTTTGATTGATTCCAGAGAATCGGACTGGGACCCACACGCAGAGAGAGTCTCCAATTACTAATTGTGGGGTCCCCTTCTCTGAAAATATCAGTTTATTCAAAGCACATTTCTTTGCGGTCCTGGCTGTGGCCACAACTTATCTTTCTCAAAGTTGGCATGGCTGCAACCCTCAGAGACCCAAATGACTTTTACTATTATAACCTGTAAAAGTATTTTTCTTTTTTTTTTTTTTAAAAAGGTCAAAGTTTGTCTTTGGCAGATAAGACGCTGCTGGAGTGTAAAATCCGTTTAGGCTCCGTCTTATCTCTGTAATCCTGCTGGGAGGGAATCGCTGATTTGTCTCAGCGGACAATGCAGATAACCAGTGAAATGTGTAAATATTTGTTGACCCTCTCGGCAGGGTTTCTTTTTTTTTCCTCACACACCACCTCAGATACAGACTTCTTCACGAACAACGGTGATTGAAGGCCGTTTTCTTCCCTGTGGACTCTGCTGCCTGGAACATCATTACCACTCTTTTGGGTTGTTGCGTCTGCAAAGCCCTGTTGGTTCTGAATCCCAGCGTGTGTGAAGGGGGAGGAGAAGGAAAGGATTAAATCTTAGATCTCATTCATCCTGCATCTGAAAAAACCTTTTCCGTTATCACCTCCGTCACACAGTGTGTTTTCTATGCAAAGAACCCCCCGAGAGGTGTCTCCTCCAACCCTCCACACGCATTCCTTGTTACAGCTCAAAATAGAATCTTTTCCACGTGTCCACATCGTGTGCCGATGAGTTAAGTGGGGGAGGAGGGGGCGTCACCTGTTGTCTCTGCCATATGGAGAATGCCGTTGATGCTGATCATTTATTTATGGGCACCGATCGCTCGTAAAGTCCTAATGGCCTCTGCCCGCCCGCCACGCGGCGGATGAATCAAACACAACCGCGTGTGCAATTGTCCGGCTCCCGGGCGAACGCCGACCCCATCGAGGCTACTGCCCTGCCGCCAGCAGGGACTCGGTTTGTGTCCTCCCGTTGGAGGCGCTTCGGGGACAACCGGAGAAATAACATCTCCATTGGCGGAGGTTAAGATGGCGGCGATTTATTAGAACGGTAGTCGATTTGCTCCTGTGCCGACTGAAGATGCCGTCTGAGAAATACTGTGGTACCAAGTCAATATTCTGCGTTCGTTCTTCCGCGTTACTGCAGGAACCACCGGTTGCTCAGATGAGTCCTTCAGGCTTCCTAACGCGCTAATTCCCGTTGGTGCTCCCCTGCTATTCCATCTTCTGTTCCAACCCTTTAAGGATCAATGTGTCCTACCAACGTTCCTGCTATGATGCTGCGATATTGTCCCCTTTTGTTGTGCTAACAAATCGGTGTAGACATCAACAGGAGGAGAGCGCGTAACGGAAGCTAGAAGCTAATCGAGGTGCAGACGGCTAAACCTGTGACTCAGGCGCTACTGGATCATGTATCCGCAGGATTTACGTATCGCAGCTCACATGCGTTTGCTCCCTGATGGTAATAAGGCACACGTTAATGACACGCATCCCTCAGCAAACAGCAAACTCTCGCGCGCCAGCTGTTTGCCCCGGAGGTGCGATGCCGGCGCCCCAGATTGAACCACCACCACCTCTTTCACCACCTCGAATTGGATCCGGCGTCTTCCTCCCGTGTGTTTGTTGATGGCTGTTCTGCGCGGCGGTTCATCGCTGTTCCTCGCGCCGGCGTATGGAAAGGCCGCTTTGGAGTCGAGAGGAGCCGAGTGGTCGTGGGACGCGTCCACGGCTCCTGCTGCCTTCCATCTAGGATGAAATTGCCTCAATCAGCGCTGCGGTGCAAAGAAACACCATTGAAGTCTGCTGCTGATGTCTCTCCAACGATACCAGCTGCTGTTTCTGGAACGCATTTCGTTGCCTTGATAGACCTTTTTTTTTTTTTAGAGCTGTATGAAGTTTCAACCACATTTAGTTATTTGTATTTTCAATTTTATTTTGTGAGCCATCGGTAAAGAAATCCAGAAATCCAGTGGGCTGCACGAGGAATCCGTTTACCTTTTGCGTCGCGATGTGAAGGGAAAACATGAATACTGCAAATTTTCTATCAACGTTTCTCTGTGTTTGCGTTTCACCTTCATAGCAGCAGCTCCCGCATGGTCCACCAAGTCCATCAATTCTACCGGGACATTTTGTCTGCGCTGCGCGTGGAAGAAAGGCCTGTTTGAAGAAAGATAAACGTACGCTTTCTGTAAATCATTTTTCCCTGGGGGAAGCCCGCCCGCTCCCTCGATGCAAGAAGAACCCCCCCCCCCCTTTTGATTGAATGCGGTGCGAGTGTTGTCCGGAACCACCGCCCGCCTCTCGACTTTAAAAGCCGGCCTATCCGGTGTTACGATTGGTCGTCCCACAAAGAAATCCTCTCACATCAAGCGTGCTCCTCTTTTTTACAGAAGTCCCAACTTCTTTCGGGCTCCGAGGAGTTCCCGCTGTGAGCGAAACGGTGCCAGATGCCGCACCTTTCCGATCCGGCTGCAATGCGTCTTCTTTGTGTCTGCTGGTCTTTTTCATGTCAAAAGGAAAAAAAGAGAAAAGCCAAAAAGAATATATCAATTTTGGGGAGTTTGAAAAAGGAAAAAAAAAGGTACTGCTGTGAAGCCGACCAAGCTGCCCCTTGTGACGAGTGCTCGGAGACTTGGGAGGGACGTGACCGGAACAATATGGTTCTCCCTTCATGTCCACACGTGCTTTTTCTTTTTCAAATGGAGCGAAATGCCAAATTTGCAGTTGACGTTAGTGCTGTGCAGGCTGCCCTGTTCCGCCGTGACTGAATGATGCTCGGGCTTAATGGCCGCCGAGAGAGAGAGAGCCGAGTCCTCTCCGTTTCCATGGAGCCGACGCAAATGAGCAGCAGCGCCAGCGACGCATACAAAGAAGACGCTGAAATAATGTCTGCATGCCAGTGAGCGTCCAGTTACGCAAAGTTGTGTTCCGCGAGCGCAGCGGAAAGCTGTTGCCTTGGACGTCTTTTTTTTTAAATCATTGAAAAGCGTCTGATTTTGGGGCGTGAAGCCGTTCGTCGTTTCCTGTTGCGGCCGGTGGCCTCGCCGAACACTAGCGCCATGTTTTTTTTTTTTTTTTCAGGCGGAGGTCACGCGAGTAGCCAGCATCAGTCCGACGCTGTAATATGTAGGTTTTGCATCACTGACTGGTGATGCTTTAAGGACAAGCGTGGCATTGTCTGGCCTTTTACCGCATCCAGCCCAAACTGCAGCAGCCAAGCCACCGCGTCTCCGTGCACGTCCCCCTTTTTTTTATAGCTGCAGCGGACGGCAGGCAGGGTATTGATGTTCGATTTAAGCAGAGCGCTGCAAGCAGCACCTCCCGGCCCGGCTTCGGGGCGAAACCTTGAAGCGCTCGGGGCTTCTGCAGGGACGGCAGGACAGGGACTGCTGCACGTTGTCCCACAAACCGTCGCTACTCGGCTCGTGTCGCGGCGCAGTGGCAGTGCTTTTCGGGTTGAGCGCAGACCGATGAGTGCAAGGCTCCGTTATGCAGATATCAGAGTGTTTTTTCATTTTAAAATCAAGGTCTCGTTGATCTTTCAGTGAATGCTAACCACTCGAAGTACAGGGCTGGGTTTTTGTATTTGATCTTTTTCATTAAAGTTTGAATTGTTGTTGTCGTGGTTGAAATCCTCACAGTCGAACCTTTTTTATATTCCTACGCCGGCGCAGAGCGTGCTTTTGTGGATGGTTTTAAAAAAAAACGATATGAGATGTTTCCGTATTGACAAAGACATTTCCTCCCGAGGCGTTATCTCCCAATGGCATCTCGTGCCGGTTCCATAAACCTGT